AAGGAAGGAGGGCTTCCCTAGTCTTCTAGGGTTTTGACTAAGTCACTTAAATGACTTTCTGTCCTTTAGTGACACCCGGTGTAATTTTTCTCTGAACTGTTATCAATTTTTCCACTCGGAATCCCCAAGACTCTAACTTTAAGTAATTAATATTAATTTTGTCTAATTATCATGTTCATAACTTAAAAATTTGATTAGTAGATCACAGATTCACTTACTGCTGTTTAATTGCACTGTAGTCTTTACTGGTGTTCTTAACTGTACCCGAATTTTATGATCTTCTTAACTTTAACATTATTAGTCTAATTATGACTTGTTAGGCATATATTGGTCTCTATTTCCACTTTCTCATATTTTTCTCATTCCAGGATTCTACCGACTGCTTCTGCAGCAGTACCAAATACCCGACATAAGTGACTTTCCCAAAATACCCCAATATGGGTATCAAACTTCATCAAATCGTATACTAACTTCATCTATGATAATCATATCATCAAAATAGCTCTCCAACTCAAATTTGCTAATTTGGAGCTATTCTACTGACTGTTACTGCGTTAGCAGTAAAAAATAATAGATGAAAATCCACCCGTGTAGAATACTATCAATATGGATATCATAATTCTTAGAATGTCATCCCTATTCCATTTATGACCCTAAGGTTTTCATAATAGTCCTCTAATTTCAAAATTACAAAATTAGGGTTATTATAAAAGTGAACTTAAGGGCGGAGCAATCTCCAAGGGCCCTTAGTTTATTGAGATTTCTATCTCTCCCCGTTTGGGGATATGTTTCAGGTTTCCAAGGAGGAGGACTAATTCAATAAGAGAAAAAGGGCACATTTGGCCTCTTGGAGTATTTAGAGGCATATGATCTGTTTTGAGATATAGCACTTATATAACCATTTTGATAGAACTTGTATTTTGAGTTAAAAGCTTATAAATATAGCATGTACAATTAGATTCAAGTTCATATGTTATGGTTTGTAATCCAAGTGATTAAGTAACACGTATATGTGGAGTTTGGTGTATTTCATTATAACTTGTGTAGGAAAATGCATTTGATGTATATGTGATGGCTTGAGGCCAAGATTGATGAATCCTTTGATAGAATTTGCATTTTATGTGTGATAGGTGGAACTGCCATTAAACGGCTTATTAGTAGATTAATAGATCACTTTGGAATGACATATACGTCACACATCCTAGATCAAGTAAAAACTCTGGGGTTTCGTCAAGCTACTGTTACATCCATTTCATTAGGAATTGATGACCTTTTAACAGTACCCTCTAAGGGATGGCTAGAAATAGATTCATCGCTCCATTTCCATTCCAATCGATTCAAGAACGAGACAAAGAACTGATGGCCCCTTCCAGTATATCTATTAAAATACCTATAAATGGTATTTTTCGAAGAAATAGTATTCTTGGAATTTGCATTTTATGTTATTGGATAGCTAGATATATGTTTATGACATAAGGAATTGCTAACTAGGTGGCAACATGGGCTTTGGAAGGGATTACATAGCTCATTATGTAGCAAAACATGGAAATTTTAGTTGCTGTCAGGGAAGTATTCAGTTACTTCCCTAGAGAAGCTCAAATTTAGCCACTGTCTTGAAAGTAATTGATTACTTTGATAACTTTCATAAAGTAATCGATTACTTAAGGCAAGTAATCAATTACTTGCTCCAGGGTAATCTATTACTTGCTGGTGACAATGGAGTATTCGATTACTTTTCAGGATGTAATCGATTTCTCATACTTTGTGAGGCCTAAACCCACTTTTAATGAGTTGTGGTGCCTTATCTAAGGGTATGGGACCCTAAGGGAGTTAGTCTAGTCTCTCCTACCATGATTTAGAGACGCAACATGATTACCCACCACCTAAGGGTTGGTAAAGCTTTAAATCTTGAAGATTTGAAGTAGTTAAGTAAATGTATGAACTAATTAGAGTATGAAAACTTTAAGTTAAGTTTAATAACATGTTTAAGAAAGAAAAAAGTTAACTCACATTTTGGAATACGAACAAATGGTTAAGTAACTAGTGTAAGTGACAAAGTTTTAAAATGATTTATTAATTATTTTGCTGCACTTAATACCATAATGGATTAATACACCAGGTGCACACGAGATATTAGAGTCTCCTCTCCCCTAAAGAAGGGACCATCCTTAAGGGATCCTATTATATAAGTATACTATTTGACTAACTTAGAGAGTTTGGCATTCTAAAAATATAGAAAATTATATATATATATATATATATATATACATATATATATATATATATATACATATATATATATACACATATATATGGGGCAGGATATTCTTACACCGGTGTAAGAGTTAGAAGTCTTACACTCAATCTTGACCATTGATCCACTTGTATCCAATGGCTCACATTACTAAAAAAATTAGAGCCTTTAGATATAAGTGAGATCAATGGACAAGATTGAGAGTGTAACTTACATTAGTGTAAAATGATCCTCACCCTATATATATATATATATATATATATATATATATATATATATATATAGAGAGAGAGAGAGAGAGAGAGAGGTAAGATCCTTTGATATCGGTGTCAAATTAAAAAGTTTGACACCAAATCTTAACTGTTGATTTTGTGAACTAACGATTATAATTTAGTGTCACACTTTTTAGTTTGACACCAAATCTCTCTATATATATGTGTGTGTGTGTGGTAAAATCATATCTAAAGTTGTTGTACTTGCAGCAATGATAGGTGTATGGTTTATAACTCCCCACATTAAATGCTTTAACCTATGTATATGGAAAATTCGTCACTATTGCACGTAAAACGGCTCTAGAAAAATCAAACCCTATTAATGTGTATGTGTGTGTGTGATAGGATCATTTGACACTAGTGTCAAAATTTGACATTTAACACTAAATCCTTATCGTTGATTTTTTTCAATAAATGATTATCATTTATTAGGAATCAAACTTATTAATAATTATTAATTCCCAATAAATGATAATCGTTGTTTGGCGGAAAAACGGTTAGGATTTGATTTCAAATTTCAAAGTTTAACATCGATGCCAAAAGATCCTATCTCATATATATATATATATATATATATATATATATATATATATATATATGGGTTTAGCGGATGTACAGTGACTGCACCTAAGGATTGATGCAGTCATATAAAATTACGTCATTTTATAGTGTGAAAACATTAAACATGGGAAGCATAACCATACAAAGGTGAAAATAAATATAATATCTTCATTTACTACAATTAATTTTGAACACGAACTTCTTTTATCCCATCCAAAATGACGTAGTTTTTAGGTGACTGCACCAATCCTTATATGCAGTCACATTACAAATCATTTTATCTATATATATATATATATATATATATATATATATATATATATATATATATATGAGGTAGGATACTTTGACACCTCGTCTGAGAGCCATTAGATAAAAAAAATCAACGACTCTGATTTGTAAACATGTGACACCATTGATCTTTTTTTATCTAATGGCTCTCAGATAAAGTGTCAAATTGGTGTCAAATGATCCTAACTAGTATATATATATATGTGTGTATTGTAAATTTAAGGGAAAACTATACCACAAGTTGGTAAATTTAAAACGTATCTGATTTTGGAATATTATTTTGCTTAATACATTATTCTAGTAAATAGTTGGCTTATGAAACACAAGTGGCGTTCACGTCAAACTTAACTTATATGAGCCCATGACTCAAAACTGGGCTTTAACACTTCTCCTTTCCCTTTTTTTCTCCTCCAAGCTCCACTAGGGGTCATCAAGGAGCCTTCTACAGGGATTTTTCAACTTAGTCTCCCAAGTGACACATAAGCAATTAAAAAAATATTGTAAATTATTATATGAACTAATTAATTGATTATTATAGCATCTTTGGTTTTAATTAAATTTGGAAGAATAATCAAATTTTAATCATAACATTTAATATAACATTTTATTTTTTTGGTAAATTACTATACTTGTATAACATCTTTTAATTTTTTGTTATTTCAAATCTAATAAGCTTATACAAACACACATTAGGTAATCACATCAACGGTTACGCTTGCGCTAGTCATTTTCGTAATTTTATACCCTCGAGAGCTATGGTTCTTCCTTAAATTTATAACATCTCCATTCACTTGTCCCCCTCTTAGCATGTTTAGTTCTTTTCTATCACAGTTCCCAACTCCCAAAAAAGCTCAAAATTATATAGTTAAGATGACTCCTATGAGCTTTATGAAGTCGAAAAGTAACGTTGCTTCTAGGGGGTGTTTGGTTGAAGATTTTTGAGGAGAATGATAGGAAAATGTGAAGTGGGGAAATTGGGTGCCCATGTTTGGTTGACAAGCTTTCAAATTTGCCTACCTAAATGAGTTTGCTAGGTATCCCATTTGCATGGCTATTTGGATCAAAATTGATGGACAAATATTCCCACTTTAGATGTGGTATTCCCCCCATTTGCATGGCTATTTGGGATTTTGTTGGTTGTTTTTTTTTTTTCCCATCTATATTTTACCTACAACCAAGCATAGACTTTATAAAAGTTACCTAATTTTCCCAGTTAAATTTTTTCCTACCAAACAACTTTTTTTTATATTTTCCTACCAAACTCACTTTCCTATCATTTCCTACCATTTTCCTATGAATATCATTTCCCAATCATTCATAAAAAATTTTCTCAACCAAACGCCCCCTAGGGTTTTTAAGTAAATAGTTAAATTAGTCCCTGGATACCGTCAGTCGTATTAGTCTCTGAAAGATGAAAATTACCACATAGGTCCCCAAAAAATGTGTTTCTTCGGTCAAATCAGTCCTTGCATTAATGATATCATGAATTAATTTATTTGACGAAACGCATATTTCAAGCACACAGTAATTTCCATATTTCATAGACTAAAATGAATGTTTACCAAGGGTTTTGGCTTATAGTAATTAATACTGTTTGGTTCACTTTCTCTTTAGTTTCCCACTTCTTACAGGCAATACTCGAGAATATACAACTACATAGGCATGCCTATAACTGCAATCCTGCAGAACCATGTGCTAACTGTTCACCGAAGCAGTACAGGACCTCAGTCAGACATTCGTTCAATGAGTAAAAGTTCTCTTAATACTGTAATTAATACAAGAGAAAGTCAGAGGAAGGAAAATACACTCTTAAACCCAAGATATGGCTGTCTTTCCTTCATTTGGCCTGCAGTTTCCAAAGAACAGCGTTGACTTCTTATTTCACTTGAACTACACTTCTCTTCTTTTGATTCTCTAGAAGAACAATGCTGCTTCTTACTACTTTCGGCAAAGCTTCCGGGATCTGATGACCGCTTTTTCTCCTTCAACACTGAAAAACTAACGGTTGGTACACAAATGGACGATTGAACAGAATTTGTGCTTGAAACGCCCTTAGAAATATTTAGCACTCCATCTATGCTACAGAAACCTTCAACTTCCTTACGTTTTACCTCAGTACCAACTTGAACACTGGATGAATATTTTTCCACTTCAGCAGTTTCCATAAATGAAGTAAGCATATTATCAGTGACCATGTCCGAGGAATCTGTCTCTGTTGCCATACCAAAAGTAGCATTCAAAGAACTGGAAAAACTAGGATGATTCTTCGAGAATAATTCCGTTTTGTGGATTATTGAATCCATGCAATCAAGCTTACTAATCAATGGAAAATCCTTAGATTTTCTACGTATATGCTCAAAAACTGTTTCTTCAGTTGATGTTTCGTTAGTTCTTGCTTCAGGTTCGGGGAGGAAAACACCTTCAGCAATAAAAAGAAACAATGATCACTTGACATGAAAAGCAAAATTGTATGATAAATCAGATGGCTGGTAAAAAGGTATACCAGTATCAAGTATACTGCTCATGTTATTTGAGCTTCCAGCTGTATTAGGATCATTCAAAGTCAGATATAGATTGATATCATCGTGGTCTGCCTTTCTGAGCTCGGCAGGCAAATTAACATCAGTTAGTTGGGGAACTTTGAGTCTGTCTTCGTCATCCAGAACAACTACCTCATGACAGCGGTCAGGCCTCTTCTCACGGGCATGATTTCTTGCAAGAAGGACCTCTAGTGACGGACATCGAATATTATCAAATGCAGATAGGAGAGAAAAGTTTTTGGCTTTCTCACGTATGTGGTCAAATACTGTTTTCTCGGTGATGATTTTGCATTTGTCCTCTTCGACCTCAAGAGCACGCCCACCTTCCTCTAACTTTTCATCCAAGAGGTCAAAACTTGGACTGCAATAGAAGAACTCAGTTAAAATTTCCGGTCTTCAAAAAACTACACTAATACGAACAAGGAGATAAAACATCTAAATCAGACATTTCAAGGGAAGAAGACTGACATGGAATCACTTTCCTCCTTGTCCTTGCTCAAACTGCATGGCTCTTTCCTTGGTATATGCGGTACAGTTATGTTGTCATCTTCTATGACATATATCTCTTCAGGAGGAGGAAAAGAAACCTGCTTTCTGTTTCTTTTTAGAAGCACAGTTGAATTGCTCTCTCTCATAAAGGTAAGCTTTCGGCGGACATCAATACCAACTGTATAGACAAAACTGAAGAATTGAGTTATAATTCCACAATTTAGACGAATTATATTGGAGAGGATTTATGATTTAGACATGTATTAACCACATCTTACTGTATTCCTCAAATATAAAATCAGCTTTGATAGTCTGCTTCCCTTGTTGGATGGGCACAAGAATTGTTGCACTGTATGGGCTGCAATATGAAATATATAATGATCTCAGCCTGAAATTTGTCGGACCATAAAAGATAGGTAGCAGAAGAGCAGTTGATTATAGGACGGTAAGAGTTATATAATTTATTCATTTACATGCAACCCGAACTGCACTTGTATAGTAATCATAGTCATTTACATTATCCACTAGTTAAGATATCATAAATTATAACAACTTACAAGCAAACAAATTTTCAAGCCTTTTTACAAGTACAATGGCTCTTATATAAGAAAGCATTTTATGTACGGTGATTTTTTGTTTAAATATTGAACTGAAAATACTCCAATTTAAAATTATCAACGCTCTTTTAGTCTGGAATGCTCAACAATATATTAATTTACCACAAAAATAAAGCCAAGGTTTCAAATCATGTACCTGGAGAACTGATCCACCCTGCAGCGATGATTTGGAGAACATCAAACTATGATTAGATGAGGAAAGAACATTTTGTACATATAGTACTTTGCCATAATACTAATGAGTCAATACCATGTTTGGTAGAAACTATAATAGATGTACACTATCAAGTCAAAAAATCTTAACTAGTAAGCCATCGTCACCTAATTTTTTCATGAAAGAGAATAGTGTTGTCTTCCTCCGAGCCAATGATCTGTGAGAGAGAAATTTAGGCAACTCATTTTAATTATTAAATGTTAAAAGTCTCCTTAGAAAACATTCAGATAACTCACCATATCAGCAAAATGTCGTTTAACAGATTGGCCTGACTGAGACATCCTAGTCAAAGTTACTACTAGCTTGGACTTTCCTTGTCCATGGCTTTCGATTTCTTCAAGCTTCACATCAACTTTTGGAGGCAGTAATAGTAGCGAATCCTTAATATGGTTACCAAATGGATATTTTCGACCAGTCACTATCTCTATTCTCCTCGGATCAGCTTCAGCGAGTGCCTCAAATGATTTAATTTCCATTGAATGCAGTGCCTGGAAAGAACATCAAAATAAGAAAATCATGCAATTAAAGGATTGTGCATATGTATTAGCAATTATTACATGCATTAATAACATAAAAAATCAATAAATACCACCTTTGCTGTAACCATCCCAATTCCAGGTAACTGTTTCAACAGGTATTGACTATCATCCCAAAGTTTCTGGTCAAGTGATTTGGCTAGAAGGGCTGAATTCACAGCTCCTTTGTAATTCCTTTTGTAAACAAAATAGTCTTTCATGCATTTTGCAATTCTACATCCATTTGAGCATATAGAATTCATGTCCTGTAGCATTAAGTTTACGTAATCACTAAGATTTAAGTATGTTGATCTGTAGCACAAACTTCTGATATTACAATACTACACCTGGATTAGAGATAGGTCATGAACTGAAGGATCACCAGTTAAGCAGTCATTTGCTATAATAAATATCTTTTCCTCTCTTGATTGAATGCGCTTTTTCTTTTTCCCTTTATCTCCAAGAATGTGAAAGCGAAGCCGGCCATCTTTATCAGCATTGATCTCATTCAAGAGCTTCTTCTCATTCCGTCTGAGCTGTATCCCTTCATTTTCCAGTACAGAATTGTGTCAATACTTAATGCCAATACATTGTGTCCTAATATATTAAAAAGTTTTCACAAATATATCCACACAAGCAATTTCTTCTGCACAGCACACAACATGAAGTGCATCTTCTAAACTGCAGTTTTCAGGAGTCCGCATTATCTGTTTCATAGTGCCAAATCTCAAATAGTACTTTGTCATTAACCTTCCAGGATCTAAAGCAGGAAAAGGAAAGATATCAGCAACCAAATTGGATTTTAATCTTTCATAATACATCACGAATATTATTAATTATACTTAAAGATATCAATACCTAATGGTCTCAAGAGGAAACCATCATCATCAACCCAGACCATTTGATGTTGTGATAACTCGTTAACTTTCTGAATACAAATCTCTGAGATAACAAAGCTTCGATAATTAATAGAGGGTAAAAAATAACTACACGGAAGAAAGAGAAAGGGAGATCATAAAAATACAAAACTCTGAAAGACAATCGGAACCAAGTCATAAGGAATTAGGAAGATATCTCAACAGCAATAAAAGAGAGATTATTAGAGTTATGGCAGCCTTTATGAAATAAAAGAGAAGTTATGAGAGTTATGGTAGCTGTTATGAAATAAATAGAGTAATAGCGGCCATTATGAAATATATCTCAGATATTAGGACGAACCTCTTACAAGATAGGCAGGCAATCTGTTCTATGAGTGTTTGGCTGAGAATCTTTCTCAGATTTAAGGGCTAGTCCCTTGGCAAGAGAGACCTCTTGTATACTTTATTTACCTCAATAAAGAAAATCTTCCTTTCTCATATTTTTTTTAATTCTTGCAGTCAATTCTTGAATTCCTAGATCAGAACTGTATCAAATTGGTCTGACTTCCCAGATCTCATGGAATACTTGAAGGAAGGTGATAAAACTGGCAAATTACCAGTAAATTAACGTATCGACACAAGAAAATTGGCCCAGTGAACTGGAATTTTTGTATTAATATCAGTAAACGGAAAGACGATTACAAGTTAACTACTGTAACGCCCGGCAACTTGCAAGCATCAACGACTATCCCCACACACTAACACGAGACTTTTCAGCGTGCTTTGTCCTCACTCGCACACTTTCCGGGAAAACTTCTCAGGAAATCACTCATCCCAGAATTGCCCCAAGTCAAGCACGCTTAACTATGGAGTTCTTCCGTTCTGGGCTACTGAAAAGCAGATGCAACTTGTTAGTATAGGTAGTACCAATTAATTCTTATAAGCTATCCTTAGTTGTGCAGTCCTATACCAGCACAATCTTTAGAATCCCTCTCTTTCCGGTGTTATTCGATTCATTCATGTACCCCCGCCGCTGGAAGCCTTCCAGGACCCGCTCTTTGTCCGTGCCCTTGCGCACCGGCGATCACTCCCCGCCCTCGTCAGTGCCCGGGATGTTACATGCCCACCAGCTTCCGCCTGGTTCGTCCTCGAACCAACACCGTACTGGATGAGAGGCCCTGCTCTGATACCACTCTTGACTTGGGGTTCTTCCGTTCTGAGCTACCGAAAAGCAAATGCATCTTGTTAGTATAGGTAGTACCAATTAATTCTTATAAGTTATCCTTAGTTGCGCTGTCCTATACCAGCACAATCTTTGGAATCCCTCTCTTTCCGGTGTTATTCGATTCATTCATGTACCCCCGCCACTGGAAGCCTGCCAAGAGCCGCTATTTCTCTGTGCCCTTGCGCACCGGCGATCACTCCACGCCCTCGTCAGCGCCCGAGATGTTACATGCCCACCAACTTCCGCCTGGTTCGTCCTCGAACCAACACCGTACTGGATGAAAGGCCCTGCTCTGATACCACTTGTAATGCCCGGCAACTTACAAGCATCAACAACTATCCCCTCAAACTAACACGAGACTTTTCAGCGTGCTTTGTCCACACTCGCACACTTTCCGGGAAAACTTCTCAGGAGGTCACCAATCCCAGAATTGCCCCAAGTCAAGCACGCTTAACTATGGAGTTCTTCCGTTCTGGGCTACCGAAAAGCAGATGCATCTTGTTAGTATAAGTAGTACCAATTAATTCTTATAAGCTATCCTTAGTTTACCAGCACAATTTTTGGAATCCCTCTCTTTCTGGTGTTATTCGATTCATTCATGTACCCCCGCCGCTGGAAGTCTCCCAGGAGCCGCTCTTTGTCCGTGCCCTTGCGCACCGGCGATCACTCCCCGCCCACGTCAGCACCCGGGATGTTACATGCCCACCAGCTTCTGCCTGGTTCGTCCTCGAACCAACACCGTACTGGATGAGAGGCCCTGCTTTGTTATCACTCTTGACTTGGGGTTCTTCCGTTCTGGGCTACCGAAAAGCAGATGCATCTTGTTAGTATAGGTAGTACCAATTAATTCTTATAAGTTATCCTTAGTTGTGTTGTCCTATACCAGCACAATCTTTGGAATTCCTCTCTTTCCGGTGTTATTCGATTCATTCATGTACCCCCGCCGCCGGAAGCCTGCCAAGAGCCGCTCTTTGTCCGTGCCCTTGCCCACCGGCAATCACTCCCCGCCCTCGTCAGCGCCCGGGATGTTACATGCCTACCAGCTTCCGCCTGGTTCGTCCTCGAACCAACACCGTACTGGATGAGAGGCCCTGCTCTGATACCACTTGTAACGCCCGGCAACTTGCAAGCTTCAACAACTAGCCCCACACACTAACACGAGACTTTTCAGCGTGCTTTGTCCTCACTCGCACAATTTTCGGGAAAACTTCCCAGGAGGTCACCCATCCCAGAATTGCCCCAAGTCAAGCACGCTTAACTATGGAGTTCTTCCGTTCTAGGCTACCGAAAAGCAGATGCATCTTGTTAGTATAGGTAGTACCAATTAATTCTTATAAGCTATCCTTAGTTGTGCTGTCCTATACCAGCACAATCTTTGGAATCCCTCTCTTTCCGGTGTTATTCGATTCATTCATGTACCCTCGCCGCTGGAAGCCTGCCAGGAGCCGTTCTTTGTCCCTGCCCTTGCGCACCGGCGATCACTCCCCGCCCTCGTCAGCGCCCGGGATGTTACAACTACCACAGCTATGGAAACAAGGAAAATTCATAGTGAATCCATACTCAGAAATCTAATTAAGAGACTGGTTCAGTGCAATTAAAGAGGCACTGATCTCTCCCAAGAACTTCCCAAATCCCAGTCTAGTTTATTACACACACCTAATGCCTATATAACAACCTAATGAAATCTCATGCCACATCAGCTATTTTCCCTTCAATAACAGAAGGGGCTCCCTAACAGAATTCTTCACACCGCAACAGCATTATCACCACTCACTGCTGACTCATCACTGGAGTTTAATTCCCTGTGGCGCCTTCTACTATATACCTTTATAGGAGTCTTATCAGAAGGTGCTCTGGAAAATTCATTGGAATTGTTACGGCAAGAAACCAACACAAACATTGCTTCAATACGCGAAACTACAGAAGGGATGGATGAGTGGTCTTCTAAATTGTGGATGATCCAAAATGGGGTCAAAATGCCAGCGGCTTGTTCACCTTCCAGAGGAGATACCAACCAACAGATCTTGAACAAGACTGCCATAGACAACAGCTTTGGAGCTTTGGAGAATTCTACAATGATCTTGAAGAAAGAGACCAGTGAATATGACCGATGGAGATCCACCATTTCAGAAAATAGAGAACTGTTGCAAAAATGAATGAAGATTAAAAATATTGATGTGGAGAAAGAAAGGGTGTTACCTTTTAAAATCAAGAAGGTGCAATCTTTGGTATAAAAGGAGGTTCTAATTGTCATTGATGTTTGCGGTCCAAAAATAGAACATAAAACCAAAGAAGAATGAAAAGATTAGAGAACTTGCAAGAAATTGCAAGTTTGCAACTTGAACCATAAAGGAAGAAAAAGGAAAACAAGATAAAAGGATGAATAAATATGATGGAGAAGTTCTTGATGTGGAGAAAGAAAGGGTGTTACCTTTTAAAATCAAGAAGGTGCAATCTTTGGTATAAAAGGAGGTTCTAATTGTCATTGATGTTTGCGGTCCAAAAATAGAACATAAAACCAAAGAAGAATGAAAAGATTAGAGAACTTGCAAGAAATTGCAAGTTTGCAACTTGAACCATAAACGAAGAAAAAGGAAAACAAGATAAAAGGAGGAATAAATATGATGGAGAAGTTGCAAGGAGAAATACACCCAAAACGAAAGCATGTTGAAACGAAAGCATGTTGAAACGAAACCAAAACTTGATGCAGTGGTAAAGAGATGGAGAAGTTAGCAGAGGAAGAAAAAGGTGATGTTATAGGACTGGAGGAGTCTTTATTGCTGAAAGGAGATGTTTGTCCAATCAATAGTATCATGGAAGGCAAGGTGCAAAAGTCGCGACTAAAGGAGGAGACATGAACGTTGTACAATGTCCATTAGCGTCCCCACCACCACTACCGAAGCCTCCGAAAATCATACGAGTGATGGATTTGGCTAAGGACATGAAGAAGGAAATGAGACCACCGTATGCAAATCGCAAGTGAATTGGATGAACCAGAGGAAGACACAACAAACATAAAGGGCTAGGAAGCATGGCATATGAAGTTGGTCCAACCGAAACTTCAGTGGATGAATAAATTCCTCTATTTTGCAGGTGGGTTGACTCAGCCCAAGACCATGAAGCATAAAGGCATCATGTGTGGAGAGTTTGTGTTTGTTTTAGTCTGAAGTTATTGCAAAAGCTCGACCTCTCTGGTTTATCCACATCCTCTAATCTGGCACATGACTCATTATTCGGTGTTGTACATGTGAAAAATAGAAGACCCGAAGGAGGCACAACCCGTACTCAATTTTTTTCCTCTTGTCTTGATTTTTAGCATGGTTTACTTTTGTAGTCTGGCTATCTGTTTTCAATTTTGACATTTTTCTTATGACTTTGTTGGCTTAGCCCCAAGTCTATCCGAGTCCAACAATTTTCTTTTGGCATGAAAGAGGTTGCTGCAATAGGTTTTGATTGGTCTACATTTTCCTCTTATCTTGGCAGTCCACTAGTCAGCTCAAGGTGTGCTAATGCTAATATTGCTATTGGATTAGTTCTCAACATAACACCAATTACTTATTGGTTAAATGCCTACGATGCCATGTATTTTCTAATATTCTCACCTTATTCAAGAAACGAACCTATACATCTCATTATGTTCTTTGCAATGACTTATGGCCCTGAATTCACAGAACTTTCGACTACTATTATGCATGTTCCCTTCTTTCGTGGAAGGGAAATATGGTTGCACATGAGTATGCTTCTTGAGAAGATATTGCTACCATATAAAGTCAGTTTCTGGATTTCAACCTAGGGGACAAGGTTGTTTCACAGGAGGAAGGTATTGTTACGAAACCAAGTCATATGGAAGGTCTACTCCCTTAGAAAGATATCTCAACCGTAATAAAGGAGAGATTATTAGATTTATGTAAGCTTTTATGAAATAAAAGAGAGGTTATGAGAGTTATGGCAACAGTTATGAAATAAATAGAGGTATGGCAGCTGTTATGAATTAAAAAAGAGGTTACGAGAGTTATGACAACCATTATGAAATATATCTTACATATAAGGAGAAAAATATCTACTAAACAGGTAAAAGAAATAACAAAACACACGAAATGGAGATGAATTTTGGATATAAGAAAAACAAAGAAAATCTGCAAGAAAGAACAGATAACTCCTGATTCTTTGAGGGACTCAAGCTCTCCCAACCCCAATTCCTATCCTAAATTCACAGATCCTTTACAAAGTGCTTTTCCACCCTTATATATCCTCATGCACCTTCTTACGTAACTAACCTATACAGTAGTTACAACAAATTATTGAAGATTCCCTACTTTCTCTCTCCTATCAGGTTAGTTATGCCACTTGATTGCCATGATTTAATCCCCTTCGGAACCTCCTTAAGCCATAATAACCCCTATATTGAACTTGAATCCACTTAATAGTTTAGGTCGGATTTTTAGGGTGATCCAATTGCACCCTTGACCTAGTTTGGTTCCCCTTGGATATCACGAGAGTATTTGCCTGCCGCTTCCACCCTTTACTGCAACGTAAGGACAACCTCTACTCATAGTGAAAGACAAAAAGACAAAATCCAGCGGCTCTAGTAATGGTGGCAAGTCGATCATCTTCTTCGGTGGAAATGGTGACCTCAGTTTATACGCCCTCTTTGCTAAGCCTTCCCCTGCATCTTTAGTAGTGTCCTTCTCGAGTCATCCTCCTCTTCTAGGTTTCTAACTCTTTCTCATTAGTAGTGTCCTTCTCCGCTTGCATCTTTAAAGATCTCCATTTTTTTATCTTCCACATCTTCTATAATTTTTGACTTCTCCAACACCAAATGTTGTTGTGCTTTAGATTCTGGTTTTTGAAAGTTAAATTTCGTATCTTCATCTTCTAAACATATCTCCGATTGGTATCGCTACAGAAATGCCCTGAAAAATGTCCACCAATTCACATTTGGATTGAGCCAACTCCAACATTTGTACCAACTGAAAGCATGTCTCTTAAGCCCCTTCACCACCCCTATCAGCCTCTCATCTTCAAGAATTCTTTTTGCCCAAAAATATTTTCTAGATAGATGAGTCATCCCCAAGCTTCATCGTCTTTCCATAGAATTTGGGAATCTCCTTTTTCTATAGCTTTCTTCTTTCTTCTTAATATGGCCATGGTTCAAAGCTCAGCACCTCTATCAGCCTCTCATCTTCAAGAATTCTTTTTGCCCAGAAATATTTTCTAGATAGATGAGTCATCGCCAAGCTTCATCGTCTTTCCATAGAATTTGGGAATCTTCTTTCTCCATAGCTTTCTTCTTAATGTGGCCATGGTTCAAAGCTCCCCAGATCCGAGAGCTCTAATACCAATTGATAGGAAACTATTTACTAAACAGGTAAAAGCAATAACAAACAACGAAATGGAGACGAATTCTGGATTTTCATTACTGGTTTGATAGGAAACTATCCACTAAACAGGTAAAAACAATAACAAACAACGAAGACGAATTCTGGATTTTCATTGCTGGTAATGTGAAATAGAATACAAAGCAGTGATATAAGAAAAACAAAGAAAATCTGCAAGGAAGAAAAGATAACACCTGATTGTTCGACAAGCTCTCCTAATTCCAATTTCTTAGATCCTTTACAGAGTGCATTCCCACCCCTATATATTCTCATGTACCTTCTTACGTAACTAACCCATACAGTAGTTACAACAAATTATTGAAGATTCCCTTCTCTCTCTCCTATCAGGTTAGTTATGCCCCTTAGTTGCTATGACTTAATCCCCTAAAGAATCTCCTTATGTAGACCCTCATGGGTCTATAAAAAACTCTTAGAAGATAGGTAGCCAATTTGTTCTGTGAGTGTTTGGCTGAGAATCTTTCTCAGATTTAAGGGCTAGTTCCTTGGCAAGAGAGTGCTCTTGTATCCTTTATATATTTCAATAAAGAAAATCTTCCTTTCTCATTTTTTTATTTATAATTCTAGCAATCAATTTTTGAATTCCTAGATCATAACCGTATCACAACCAGATGATTACAATTATACCTTGCACATGCCTCTCTAAACGATCGCCAGAAATTCCTTTCTTAATTGCATAGTTCATAGGATTCTGCTTATGCATAAAAAATTTCATCAAATGGGATGGGAGAAAGTTAAAGAAAAATCTAATAGACATCCATACTTACCCTTTTCATTCTTACATACAAGTATGAGCATTTCATCCACTCAATTGCTTTTGTTATATCAGAAACTGTCAGTTGAACAATTTCCGCAAGTAAATGCTCCGTCACACATGAGAGTAACCTATGGTAAGCAAACATAATTTAGCTGAACAGGGTAAATGCAGAATGTTCACAGAATAAGAGCCACATTCAAAAGCATTATTTTAATTCTGCAACTTAGAAAGAGACAGTCTTACTGTGATTCCACCACCTCACACCCATTTAAGAGATTCTCATACAAATGAACCTGTATAACAGTATGTAAGAGTAAATAAGAGCACATCGTTTAAAGGAATAGAGGTCGTGATCAAAATTGAAGAACTATGGGAGTGTAAAGTAGAAAAGCATATGCGGCCAAAACCAAACAACATACACAAGTGAGTGAGTGAAAGAAAGAGAGAAAGTGAGAGAGAGAGAAGAGAAGGAAATATATGAGCAAGTAGCATAGTTCACCGTTTCTCTCCTTGTCATGATTATAACCATGCCGGTATCATCAAACGGTGGTCGGCCTGCCCTTCCACACATCTGTACCATAAAAAGTTTACCCTAAATGATATATAAACAATCTAATAGTGCAACTAAATAACATGGAAAATTTTTACTAAAAAGAAAAAATAACAAGGAAAAATCATCAAGCACTGATTCCCCCTGCCCCCACCATTTTAGGTAGTCATAGTGTGACTGAAGGACTAGAACAAAGTAAACATACTTTATGATTGTGTCTTACAGTATTGTAACAAATTATGAAGAACCTATACCGCTGGAATCCATAATTACTTATACCATTAGCCACTTTGTAATATTATATAATGACAAAATAAAATTATCGCAAGGTATCTTAAGAAGCAAACCTGCAATATAGTGGAGCGATCATATTCCATGTAAAGACCTTTTTCCTTGTTGCTGGAGATAATTAATATTTGAAAAAGTCAATTGGTGAAAAAGGCCTTTTAACATACTACAAAAGTGTACAAAAAACTTTAAAAAAAAAAAAAAAAAACATACAAGTGCTGTGTTGATTTAATAACCACAGTATGCGCTGGGAGGTTGATTCCATGGGCTAGTGTATTTGTAGTGCAAAGTACTTGAATGTCACCCTTGAGAAAAAGTCCTTCCACAAGATTACGATCTTTGAGGCAAAGCCCACCATTGTGATAACCAACTGCAAGTAAAACCATTTTCTAAAAGCCACACATTTACTAATTTGAAATTCTAATTAATGAGAATGGAATTGCAATCACATTCCAGTAAGCATTGTAATTAACGAGAATGGGATTGCAATACTAATTTGAAATTTTAATTAATCACAGTATGTTTCTCTTTCTTACCACCATAAAGAATATATGATTGCATTTGCTTGTCACTGCATGATAGAGAAGCCTCCCTCAGCCGATCTTGCTGTTCTCTATTCTTAATAAATGGATTTGATTGGCCAAAAGTCATGACTATTTGAGAGAGTCGTTGAGCTGCTTCTTGTGCTCCTTTTCTTGTAGAACAAAATATAAGCGCAGATTTCCCTCTTGAGAATTGCATGAGAATATCTGAAATCAGTTGTTCATATAGAATTATAGTTTTTCAATTTATACAGAAAAGTTTATAGCAGAGAACAAGTTACCAAGTATAAAGTTGTAAAATGGAAGGCTAAGTATCTCTGCTTACCGAAAATATAATTTTGAAGGCGCTGCATGGTAGCATAAATCAGAAGTTAAGTTAAATTGGTTAAATGGATTATTTAAAAGTAGCATATCCTAGAGCAAACAATCAAGATTGATATTATTTAAAATTTGCCAACTTTAAACCAACCTTCTCAAATAGAAAGTCATTCTTGGCTGGGGCATAGCCTGCATAAATTTGGTAGTAGAACAACAATCAGACATATCTAAATTACTGCCAGGTTTACAAGCCAAGACATTGAGTAAAATACAATAAAAGTTCACAAATTCAAATTAGGAATCATTTGTTTCCGTCATCTCTTTTTTCCTGAGAAGGCCCATCCAACTTGGTTGTATAGATTTCAGAATAGGGTTGAACATATGAGAATTGATAAGAAACTAATTTAAAGGCGGTTATGTTCAGTTTTATTAGCATACCAAAAACCTTGGTTGTCAGCTTTACTGGCCTCATTTCTTCTCCAAACCTGCGAACATTCAAAAGCAAAATAAAAATTTTCTGGATATTGACTTTCAGCATTATAGCACATATATAATAGGATGTGGAGGTAAAAGACTACCTTTTAATCCCTTGGTCAGGAACCTCAAGCCATTTAGCTGCAATAGTGCGTATATTGCATGAAAGTCTTCCCATGGTTGTTTACATGTTATTTTAATTTCCATAACTCGTGTGACAACATCAATTAAAATAAAAATTACCTAGATCCTCAATATTTGGAATTGTGGCAGACACAGCAAGGAAGCGGACCTGAGCCAGAGGATTTAATTTCATTTTTGGATTGCAAGCAACAATTTTTATTCTACTAACAATTGCTTCCAGAGCAGCTCCACGTGGATCGTTCAACAGATGAACTTCATCAATTAGTAGAAGTGCTATGTCACTGAAAAAGCTCAAGCCACCACCTTGTATACCATATCGTGACACTGCATCGAACTTCTATCCATTGGAAAAAGAAATCAAGTTTAGCCATCTCCTATAGTATATCAATAAATCAGTCAGCTTACTGCTTGTGCATGTGTGCATGTCCGTGTCCAAGGATCACTATCAAAGTGATACAAAGCCAACGAGAAGACCATCAAAAGTACATATTTGAGGAAGCCAAAGAGGGAATGCTAAGTTTAGGTTAATTTGTTATTAAAAAAATCTTCTTTTTGTGGTTTTGAGGATTGGGGAACATATGCATAAACTTCACAATTCAAGATAATATTGAAATCTATATCCATTTAATATTTCAAAGAAGAAAAAAGAAAAAGCAAAATATGATAAGTCTACTTATTTTTACATAACTTTCATTTCCGTACTGACCTCAGGAGTGGTCAGAATAATATCCGCTTCATGTATATTCCTTGAAGTGTAAAATTCATTGTCACCTGTCAGCTCCAGGCAATTTATCCCCCATGGCCCAAACTTCTGATTCCAATCACGGAGCTTCTCCTGTACTAGAGCCTTTGATGGGGCTATATAGATCTTGACATCATGTGAGAAGACCATTGTTGGAATAATTTGTTACCGATATGTGATAATGGAAATACTTATTTAACTGTAAGTTTCATATGGTTCACCACGTACAAAAGCTTGGGCTGTTGTTTGTGTGCCAATACAATACGAGTATTCTTTATAGCAAAAATTTATTGGGTTTATAACATTGACAGAAGCAGAAAGAGAACCTGACTATAGTCCTTATTTTTCTTGAACAAGAACCAATTATACTCTTGAGAAGGATAACTGAGAGAAAAGTTTTTACTGCTGGAATCTTTTGGGAAAGGACTTACTGTTTTAAGAGATCCCTTTACATGTATGAATCTTCCCTCTGCAGAGATAGACCTTGACAGAAGCCTCAATATGCAAAGCTCAAAGAGTACCGTTTTACCACTCCCAGTTGGCGCAGAGATGACCATGTTTACATCAGAGTGGAAACAGATAGGAAAGCATTCACTCTGAAGTGAATTGAAATACCTGCATGCCGTATAAGGTAGAAAGCTCATTCTGTTAATCAAGAAAGCAATCCTCTTGAGATCACTTAGGTGCAAATTATTTTCTTAAACAATCAGAGGTTTGATATTGTACAGGCAAATCACCAATTTTTATGTTATGTCACAAAAGACAAGCGATAAATGATAATCATCTCTTATTTAAAATTACATCGAAAAGGGAACGAACCGCAACAGTGGTAAAACTATTATTTCGTAACTGAAAGCTCATAGGTTCGAATCCAGGAAACAGCCTCTTTGTTATTATGCAAAGATAAAGCTGCGTACAAGGATTTCCTCCATCCCACGCTCGGTAGTCGGATTCAACGAGGAGTGATTTTTTTTTTTATTTAAAATTACATCGAAAAGACAATTATTTGCACAACTTGGTATATCTTTCGCATAAAAAATATATAGTACCTGAAATTAAAACACGAACGAAAAGGCGCAGGCAAATCGAACATGGACTTCAAAGAATATGAATCCATAACCAGGATGCTGAATTAACTAAACAAAAAAGAGTTGAAAAGAGAACGTCAGTTCTAAAGTACAGCAATGAACGTAATTAAGGTAGCATAAACAAGCTAAGAAGATAAGATATAACATTGCATATAATCCCTGCTGCTTCCAACTAATTTTCAGACAACAGTGATACACAGTAAAATGATAGTTATGTAACTTATGTTAAAAAAAATGATGAAATGAAAATCAATTTCATAATTGAAAAAATAACAAAATTCAAAAATTTCTAAAAAATTGAAAAGAATTTTTTATTGTTAGCAATTACCTGCAAACCAAAACTTATAAATCTCTATGAACAGGTAATTCAATCTCTCTCTCTCTCTCTCTCTCTCTCTCTCTCTCTCTCTATATATATATATATATATATATATATATATATATATATATATATATATATAAGTATCATCAACTCTCAAGCAAAATACAATTGTGAAATTTCTTGCTAGCTGGTGACTGACGAAAAAGATAAAGAAAGATCTTCAATAAAGCGGCACTGGTTATCAGATACCACTAAACTTCATGGCAACAGAAACCAAAAGAAAAAAGAAAAAAACTAAAAACTGAAACGGAGAATTTGAGAAATCCAATTCGTAATTTGAGATTCTCCTGTTTTAGATTCAGAATTCTGAATCCATCGTAATCCTAATTTGACCGGGGGGGAAAAAATCGCTGCAGAAGATTTCTTAAAATTGTTCTCAAAAGTCCCTCGATAATTGGCGGATTCAGCGAGTCTGAGATTTTGCAGAGTAGAAATGAAAATACAAAACGAGAATTCGAGATGCATTCAAGAAAAAAATAAATCACATAAGATACAAAAAATAAAAAAATAAAAAAACTGAAACGAGTTTGCTCTTGGATTCCTCATTCAGATGGAGATCCAGTTTCTCAAGCGTGTTTTCAAACGTAGAGGTGAAGAGAGAAACCTGAGAGAGTGGAAGAAGATAAACTAGAATTCCTCAAATTCTTCAAAGGTAGGTTCATACAATTTCGTATTGGGAGGGGAGGGTGAGAGAGAGAAAGCGGAGAAAAAGAAAATGTAGTTCCGGTAGCAGCGAGAGAACTTTGAATCGAGTGTGAGCAACAAGCATACGAAAATGAAATTGGATGTTATTTATAGTTGGATGAAGTGCTCTTGGCGGGAACACCTCAGGGCTGCTTGCGTGTGACGGCTTCATATTAAGAATTTGTTTTTTGTTTTTTTTTTTGAATATATAAGAATTTGTTTTTTCAAAAAACATTCGACTGAACTAATTCAATTCGAATAGTATCGAAACCATATAATTCAATTCGACTCAGTTAGCGTGAGGAGAATTGAGTAGATAGGATGAGCATGTAACATCTTTGGGAGGAATTTAAAGTTTTAACCACGAGATCCGTCCCAAATCAGACTAGTCACAAAATGATAAACCGATTGGAATATCTTCAAACAAAATTTGTTTTTATTATGGACCCATACGATGACTCCGTTGCTATTGGGCGTATAGTTCAGTCTAAACCACCTTCAGGTAAGCAACCCTATATAAAATGGGAGTTTCACCTTATAGGTACGCATATGAAATCCCTAGTCTCTTACTCTCTGTTGTCTGTGTGCACATATATCACCCCTCTGGCTCTCTCACCCCATCATGCACTTTAAGTGAAATGGTAAAGATTGATACTTACATTGAGGTATTTCTTAAAAGTCACTCAAGTGGATGGGTCCCACATGCCACCTCACACAATTCAAATTATTTCAAACATCCACTTAACTCACTAATATCCGATTAATTAACAAACTATCTATTAAATTCAAAATTTAACATTCACCAAAGTCCTTTAATTGTCATTCAACATATGAATCCGGAGTTTTCCAGTAATTCAGTGAAATCACTGTTTTAGCCTGATTTGTATATCGTTGGCACGTTTCCCCAAAAATTCTAAAATCCATCAAAATTCACCAATAATCATATTTCTTGATCCTAAGTATTTTTTCCAACATATATTCAAACCTAGAGCACTAATTTCACTTGGCACATTTTTCGATCCAACTGTACCGCAGTATTTTCATCCAATAAAAATATTATTCATCAATTTTCAGAAACTTGCCTAATCACTCAATTTTTCGTTCTGAATCCATTTCCAGTATTATTTTTATCATTTGAGGCCTAATTCTTCATTTTATAATTTAGGGTTACGTATTTGTTGATTTACAGTTTAACCCTTATTACGTATTTTGACCCAGAACTTAGGATTTTCAATAATCCTATCCCTTAATCATCATTTTAATTATAAGTATGTATTTCAAATCTACGAGGTGTTATATATTCGGATATCAATATCTTCCCAAACCCATATTCGAATATCATATCCGGATATTTCGTGACAGAAATGCAAAAATGCATTTCACGTGAAGATATCCAACAAGCTCCCATTTTTACACTTAACAGAGGTTCAAGTATGTGTTTTTAGGTGAGTTCTTGCTTGTTTGCACCCAGGTTACTTAGTTATATCTTTTTATATTCAACAAGACTTCATCTTTTTCATAGAAACTCAAGAGGAAATGGTAGAGTGTATACCCAATGCTTCAAAACAGTAAAAGGAAGGAACTTTAAAGGTCTTGATGCTCCTCGAAGGAAGGTAAACGAAATTTTAGCCCCTAAGCTTAGCTCTTTCTCCTCAAGATGGCTCTTTGGTGCTCCAAAGAGTGTGGAAATGGCTCCCACAACCTCAACAAAGGAAGGCGGCCCCTTAACCCACTCAAGGCAGAAACCAAAACACCCAAGAATAAGTTTTTCTTCTACAAAATGTTTGCTTTCAAGTGTTGGTGATGATCAAAAAGAAGAAAGATGAAGAAAGGTAGGTTCTTGGATTATCTTCATGGAGAAAGCATCAAGTTTTCTTGGAGAGGAAGAAGAGAGAAAATGGCTAAGTGTGGAGGGAGGCTCTACGTAGGAAAAGAGGGGAATGAGAGAATTAAAATGTGTCTAGTCACTTAAAAGACACTGCTCACTAACTCCACTGGTATTAGTTCTAATATCTCCACTAATTATTTTTCTTTCAAACTTTATATTATTGAGTTAGTAAATTTTCTAGGAACATTCCTATTTTATTCTTATTTTTTGAGTCATTTCATCGGTACGCATTTATACCGTGAAATACCCGGTGTTTGCACTTTTCTTCTGAAAAGTGACTTAATATTAATAATTATAATTTCTCTATAATTATCCTATACTAATTATGAAATATTTCCTAATTTTCTAATTAAATTATTAAAATTCCTAATATAGCGGTGCAGGTTTTTACACAATACATCACTATGGAGGTGTAAAAAACTTTGATGGTGGTTAAAATTTGTTCATACACTTGTCGAAGCAAGAGAGATGATATCAAGTTTTAGCCCACTATAAATTCCATCACACATAATAGGAACTATTAGGAAAATAATAATATTCCAAAAAATTCAACATTGGAAGAAGAAGGCAAAAAGAATAAGGTGTTTGGGTGTCTTCTTGAGGTATTCTGAAGAGTTTATAAAAACTCTCTTCTTATTACTTTGTTTGAATAAGTTCTGAAACAAGTTAGATACCATGAACCTTCTCTAAGATTCTTCTTTTTATTTTTTTCTTTGTCATGTCTTTCTTGTAGTGTTGGAAGCATAGATGATAGACTTTTGCTAACTGTGATGAACTATCAAAACGTTCCTCTTATGCTTACTCTTTACACTACTGATAATAATAATAAATATTGCATCAATTATATTTGAATAAAGTAGAAAGGATAGTTAGCATATGTGTCTCAATGCTTGTAAAGTACTGTTATTAGTATAGGGGACGGTTATACTTACCACCAGGTAAGTTTACCACCTTTACCACCAATCTCATCACCGTTAGATTAAAATTAAATCTAACGGCTCGTAATTATCCCTTATAATCTTAATTTTCTCTCTCACATTCTCTCTTTGTCTTTCTCTCTTTAGGTTTGCATACCCTCTCTCATCCTCTCTTTAATTGTTGTGCGCTTTTGATATCTTAACTCTCTGCACATCGATTTATTCAACAGGTTTCCCTTCTCATTCTCGCTCTTTCTTTCTTAATTGTTTATTTGTTTATTTGATGATATTGTTTTGATTTATATGGTACCCTCAAACTTGCGATCCTGCATCTGTTTGTTCCTGGGTAAGTTCGAGTTCAGGGCTGATTCATAATTTTAATGATTGATAATTTTCCTTGGCAGCCATGAGCTTCTTCCTATGCGGGCAACGTGGACGAAGAAAGGAAAACCGTTGTCAGGGCCGTTGGCATGAGGATCAGGGGCGATGAATAATGAATTGTATCATGGCACTAATAATTCATATTAAAAAAACGAATTCATAATACCCTCCCACCGAAATCTTAAACGGATTCATGAAATATGTCAACAAATGGGAACAAATCTTGAATTTCGACATAGCACTGTAAGGATGAAGAAAGGAGGAAACCTAGAGAAAGAGGGGGAATCTGAGAGAGAAAATTAAGATTATAAGGGATAATTATGAGCCGTTAGATTTAATTTTAATCTAACGGTGATGAGATTGGTGGCAATGGTGGTAAACTTACCTGGTGGTAAGTATAACCTTCCCCATTAGTATAATAGCAAAAATTTATAAATGTGATAAAATAAGAAAAAAAAATTATAGGAATAAGTTTGGGGCTAGATTATCAAGAATATAAAAATAATAATAATAATTAAATAACTATTCTATGCATTAAGACTTTTCCTTAGGAACTATGACAACACTATTACAATATAAAAATTGAAGATTTAATATGTGAAATTTTTTAAATTTGTGTTTGCTTCTCATTCATGCTTTATAATGATTAATCATGTGTGAATACTTTAAGGTTGAATTTTATTTCCTTTTATGTGAAACTATAAAACCTTTTGCATTTATTTAAATTAGATGTCATGAAATGAAATAAGAGAAAAATAAATAATGTGTGTGTGTGGG